GTCATTCACAATGCTGAATGATACCAGTGCTTGGAATATGTACTGTATGCATTCACTGTATTTAGTATTTTGTCAGACACTAAACATAGCTGTGGCTATGTGGTGGCGCTACGGGTTAAACTGCAGAAGCCTCTGTGCTGCAAGGTCAGAAGACCAGCAGTCGTAAGATTGAATCCACACAATGGAGTGAGTTCCCATCGCTTGTCCCAGCTCCTGCCAACCTAGCAGTTTGAAAGCATGTAAATGCGAGTAGATAAATACGTACCACCATGGTGGGAAGGTAATGGCATTCTGTATCTAGTCATGCTGGCCACGTAACCACGGAAACTGTCTACAGACAAACGCTGGCTCTAAGGCTTGGAGACGGAGATGAGCACTGCGCCCTAGAGTTGGATGCGACTGGACTAAATGTCAAGGGGAACCTTTACGTAAACATAGCTGTATAGAAGTTGAGGACAGCTTTTCATGTTGATTTCTCTAACCATGGATAATAGGAATACTGCAGAATGTATATGTCAGGGGAGTTACAGCTCCCAAAATTAAATTTCCAGTACTTGCAAATAACAGATCATTATCTCTTTATCCTAAAAATTATTTATTCTGATCATTTGTGCAGAATCCTTTTCAAGTAATAAAAATAATTTATTGTTATCAGCCATGTCATCTATATGACTTCTAATTAGATGCATCCAAGACTCAGATGTAAGCCAGCTGAAGACTCTGTGGTGCTTTTAAGACGCTTTTGTCACATCAAACAGGCATTTGATGCAGCATGATTGGAAGTTTGTTAGCATTTTATTTTGAATTCTCTGTGTCGCTCTTGTGAGTTATTGCCCAGCAAGGAAGATAACATTGAGTCCTCTAGGTATACAAGTGATAGATTTATGGTTTCTTCTCATGTTTAATGTTCCTTTGGTAAGCATGGTTATATGATATACCGTATAACATGATGCCAGCATTGGCTCTCACACCATAAACTGTCTGCCATAAAGTTAAAACTCTCTCACATCTTAATTTCCATAAACATGGGCACCTCAAATAGATATTGGTAATATACTAGAAATAAGAATATCTAAATTTTTATTATTCTCAGCAGATCTGAGATCAGAATCTTTTACATGTTATTTGACCTGTCTCTATGATTGCCTTCTAGATTTAAGAAGCCCTTTGCTTCAAACCTAGAAAGAGCAGATGAAAAATAATCATGACTTGCCCCTGTTTGGGGGGCATGTTTTTAATACTAATGGATTGAATACAAATGTTATTATCTGTCCCATACCATTCCTCCTGAGTTTGGAGGTAAAGGATTTAGGTCTGAAAAAAACAATTTTTCTTTTAGATTGCAAAGAAAAATGATGTAGTCAAATCTAGCAAAGAGATCAACATACGTGCTTATAAAAACAAGGAATCTAGACTCTGTTATGCCAAGACATGTTTCACCTACAGTCACTCTCTTATTGCAGATAATGCATGGTAATTATAATTATAATCATATTATGCTTTCTGGATAAGAGAGTTTCCTATTGACAGAATTAGCAACTTGACATCTGTCAAGGATCCACAAAGTTTCATTTTTTAGTTGCAAAAGAGTTCTTGAGGGCTTCGTGTGAAATTGTAATTACAACTCAGGAAAGCAAATTAAGAAAACATGTACTGAGCTTTTTCAAAGACAAACAACAGTGTCAGTTTTATTGAGACACTTCCCGTATCATTTGAAGCCAAAAATTACTGGAATTGAAGGAAGAAAGTAAGTGGTACCTTAAAATGTAAACCAGCGTTTCCTAGAACAACTCCTCATTTTTCTATTTTGTTTAATGTAGTGAAAAAAAGGATCATCTTCTAAGAAATAAAGAAACATCATTTCAACGACTAAAGAAAAAGTAGTCAGGTGACTGGCGAAACGTTAGGAAGAACCACCTTCAGAACACGGCCAAAGAGCCCGAGAAACCCACAACAACCATTAGTCAGGTGATGCTTAAAGACCTTAAAGAAATAGGAACTTTAGATATCATGCTTGAAACCAACGGGCGATACAAGCCTTTTAAAAAATGCTCTGGTTATAAAGAACACGTTCCCCCATCACAGCTCTTCATACCACCCATAGTGGCTTCTGATACAGCTGCATTTTAAAAAGGAAATCAGTTGAAGTACTCATTAGAATACTTACATGGGCCTTCTGGATCTCAATCCTTCTAATTAGGCTAGGAATGATCAAACATACCATGATGACCCAAAACCTCTTTTAAACCCAGTTAGAAGAATCTGTGGAACAGTGATTCCCAACCTTGAGTCACCCAATGTTGCTGGACTAAAACTCTCAGGAGCCTTCACCACTAGCTGTGCTAGCCAGGATTTCTGGGAGTTGTAGTCTGGGGACTCAATCAAAATCCTTCTAATTAGGCTAGGAATGATCAAACATACCATGATGACCCAAAACCTCTTTTAAACCCAGTTAGAAGAATCTGTGGAACAGTGATTCCCAACCTTGAGTCACCCAATGTTGCTGGACTAAAACTCTCAGGAGCCTTCACCACTAGCTGTGCTAGCCAGGATTTCTGGGAGTTGTAGTCTGGAGACTCAATCACTGCTCCAGAAATTGTGAAGACTGAAGGTAAACTTGAAACTTCTGTTCTCTCACACAAAACCAATTATTTCATTTCAACTGCTCTTTTAGTGGTCTGATTAAAAAGTGAGGAATTTAAATAAAATAGATTCCTACAGTAAATAATTAAACACCGGAAAGAAAGTTATCCTTTCCTTTTTTTCCATTTGTTCATAATTTTATTTAATTCTTCTTTCAGTAAAAGAGGAAGAGACAATCTGGACTGTTTTGCTGGAAGGAATTATTACTAGGGGTGTGCAATTTCATGTTTTTTGCAATTCCCAGAATTCTCCAAGAATCCCCCAGGCGGCATTTCCCAGAATTCTCCAAGAATTCCTCAGGCGGCACTCTGGGAATTGTAGCCCATGAACCCAATTCTGCAGACCTTGAGATTTCACTTCCCTAGAATAGGGCTTTCAGGTTAACTACTTCCAATGATGATTTCATCTCATCTTACTCCCCCCCCCTTCCTGTTATGGTGCTCTTCTTTGGAAGATGACCTCCACAGAGACTGGACAGGGGGACTACAACTCCCAGCATTCTCTGCACCTGGTCAGCCAACCACCACTACTGTTACATGACTGATCAGGGAGCCAGGCCACTCTAGCTACAGAGGACACTCAAAATTGCTTCGGACTGTCGTACTAAATCGATACCCCCCTTTTTTGTACTTTTGCAAACCTGAAGATTCTCCTGAATCTGCTGCATGCATTTGTTGTTGCTTTGACCAAAGCTTAGAAAACATACTTTCTTGGACTACAACCCTTCAACCAGCATGACCTGCATAGACAATATCAGCAGAGGAATTCTGAGAGCGCCAGTCCAAAAAAGTAACTTCTACAAGCTCTGCCTTTGCCGGCATCAGTACAGGCACCTTCCCCTGACAACTCTGGAAATTGAATAAAAAGATGATAATGTAATGTAGACTTCTTCATTTGTGAGTGCTTCGACATTTGTGTGCAGAGTTTGCTTTCAGACAGATGAGAGACAAGCATGGGCCTGAATGAGAATCTGTAGTTTGCATGGATCAACATACTGCATAAGCCCTCCATAAACAAAGAAGAAGGAAGACACACATGGGCCCTGCTTTTAGTTAGAAAAATGAGGACAATGGCAATAAAAATGCAGGTAAGTGAACCCTTAGAAGAAAATCTAAGCTTTTTAGTGGGGACAGGGGAATTGTAATACTATTTAGATTGTTACTTACATTCCAGAAAATTGTCACAATTTTTAAATGAGGTCTGGTTTATTAGTACATGGGACAAAACCTTTTCAGTTACAGAACTCACTCTGAAAGCCCTGTTCTTTTATCACATTTGATTTTAAGGTCCTTTCCTTTTTGTGATTTTAATATCTTACTGATGATAAGAACACGAGCAGAGTCCTGCTGGGTCAGGCCAAGGGCCCATCTAGTCCAGCTTCCTGTATCTCATAATGGCCCCAACAGATGCCTCTGGGAGAACACAAAACAATTAGATACCTGTCTCCTTATACATCTCCAGGCTTAAAAGGAGAAGTGGTGAGAGTCTTGCATACTCATCAGGAAGAGTTTATCAGAATTGTTATGTACCCATCAGTGGAGAAATTAATTTGAAATCTGTGTGAAAATTATCACACGCAATGATCCTTCAGTGCAAAATACTGCATGCACACACAATTTCAAAATACTGTACATTACACATAAGTTTCACATCCATTACTACATGGTAATATTTTCCACACAGATTTTTATTTATCTTTGAAGCAGCCTTCTGATTTGAATGTGAGAATCAAGGTTCAGATCTGATTAACTGACTAAGCTATCTTTTCTTTAATTCACAAAAAATATCAGTCACCGTACAATACATATTCATTCACGGGCAAGCCCCAATTAACTCAGTAAGATCTATTCCTAGGTGAGTGTGTATTGAGATTGGAGCCTTGACACCAGTGGTGTAGTGGTGCCAGGGCTTGTAGGGTCAAAAGTCCTGGACTTGCAGTGTAGTACCGATTATGACATCATCCAGCCCGTCACCCAGGGTCCCGTTTCCCAATAGTAGTCCAAGAAAGCCTGAATGTAGGTGGGAGAGAAATGGATTTCCCCATAATAAAATATTTTTGAAAGCTCTCTCATATTGTAATACACAATATTTGAGAATAGTTTGGCTTTGAAAGAGGAATTAAGAGCCATTAACTTTACAGAAGACTTGTACCTCATTTTACAAAAGACTCACACCTCATTTGTTGCCTGGACTTTCCTTTTAGGGGCTGTCTGTCTATGAGGAACTGTCATGGTTATTACTTGCAACTCCAAATTCATGACGACCACTCTGCTTAACACACAATGTTACAATAAAATCTTATATGGATATCAATCACTAACAGTACAACAATGTCACATTCCAAGTAATTTTTTTACCTCTGCTCCTGAATACTTTTGTGTTCGTTCAACAAGTTCATCCAAATGGACGTCTTCTGAGACGGGCATGGTGGAAAATTGAATTTTAAAGATTGCTCTGCGAGTGGCTGCATCAGGGAGTGGTACATATATGATTCTGTCAATTCGACCAGGTCGCATCAAAGCCTGTGGTAAAGCCATTAAAAAAACATCTTTAGCTGGATCATGAGAAACTTGAGAGAGAAAGTAAAATGCGAACTGTTTTTTCTCTGAATCATTGAAGAATTAATGCCTTAATCACAAAATACGTAAGTAAAGTGGCTGAATGCTTTTTGTTCAACTATCCCCACAAAGAGATGATGATGCCATCAGTAAGGGGGTGATTTTGGAAAGTAAATATTTCCTACTTCTGTCCCATGGCTCCCATGTAATCCCCTTTCAATGTGTAGAAGCTGTGGGAGCTGCAGGATGGGAGGAAGTCTTTAATTACAGAAAATCACTATTACTGAAGCAAAATGAGTATCTGGAATTTCCATTTCCGTTTGATGTTCATTTTCTGACATTCTATCAGAAAACATGGCCAGAATCTTCTTAGGATATTACTGTGGAGTAATGAAAATTGCATCTACTTACAATGTGCCATTAGCTTACTTTCTTGCATGCATGTCACGTGACTGGCACCTTATTAATAAACTACAATTGAGTGCCACAACTTACTGATTCCACATACACTGGAATCAAATCTCTGCAGTATTCCAGTGAGTAAGAATACAGAAAGGTAGGGGGCAGAAACAGCCTACTGTCAACACAGTATTGCTCCTGCAAATGGCTGCCCATGGCATATTTCCCCACATTCCTTATGAGACAAATCCACACTGTGTTTCACCACCTCTACTAAATATACAAGTGCTGGAGTGCCCAGTGGTTTAGGCACCTGGCTGTGGAGCTGGAGGTTGTGACTTTGATTCCCCACTGGCCTCTTTAACAAGGGCTGGACTTGATGAGCCATAGCATCCCTTCCAGCTCTGCAGTTATAAGATCACTGGCTCCTGTTAGTCAGAAATGCACACGGCACAATGTTTCCCTGCACCGTGCCAGTGATTCTTCTTCAGAGTTTGGAAATATTACTTTTGCGAAGTAGGACTTCTTGAATCCCCTACCACCATAGCATGCTGGTTAAACTGTAGTCTAAGTAGCAACTTTTTCAAGCTCTGTTCTTCTTACCATCACGCTATCTTCCCCAAATTAAAAAGAGAGATCAACACAGGAGCTGCTATAGTGCTACTCCTTCCCAAATATCCTCAGAGGGAAGATCTATACCAGGGGTGTCCAACCTTTCACCTTCCCTGGGCC